ATGAGTATCCTTGCGTTGTTGCTCTAGGATGTCGTTTAACTCCCTCAATAGTCTACAAATCGTTGAGGTACTGCGTCGAGCGTCGTCGGTTTTGAATCCTTATAGTTTTACCAACAGCGATTTGGATGCTCTATTGAAATTTGAAGAGCATCAATGGTAAAGTAGATTCATCATATATACTAGCTAAAACAATATGCGAAAGAATTATTTCAGCATACGGCGAGAGAACATGATTAGACGCTTTTCTTTGGCTTGTGAATGAAGAAAGTAGGCCGAGTTCCTTACCGGCCAGGGAACTAGTTCATATCCGTACGGCGTCGAAGAACTCGCACGTCGAATTTCAGTCCCGTCCGTAGTGGTTCATTCCCAGCGACCACACGGATATGGTGACTAAAGGTGCGATCAAGCGGTTGCTAGAAGAACATGTCAGTGAAACCAGTGACTGGTATCCAATTGTCCAAGTCACTGCTTGTAATCGCTACCCCTCAAAGTTGCGCCTCAATACTCTAGAAGTGCCCAAGCTATGGTAATGCAACAAACAGTGTTTTTTTTTTAAATATTCAACGCTCATAACTTACTTGTCCAAAGTCTCCATATATGTGATGGTATCAATGTGTGCCATGCTTATATTGACTGTCAACCCCTGAATCGTGCCACGATGTCGCTTGTTGATAGAGTCCGGTTGAACACAGTGCTTCAGCTGAAACGATGGTCCAGCGTAAGGGCTCCGATAGAACGGTACGATGTGGGCTATTTTGCTGGGACAAGTACTAACGATTTTCTTCCAGTGTAGTGCTCATTTATGAATTCAAGATAGTGGGCGGCTCCACCATCGAAATCCATGCAGGAATCGGTGCGGCAGACACTAGACCAGATCAACAAGACTATCCAGAACGTGGAGATGATAATATGTTGCGATCTGTCTTGCATGACGCCTCTGCTTTACGTCTTCCATTGACATTACTACAGTGAGCTTGCATTTTTATAGTGATCTACTCAGTGCTGACTTGCAACAAGGGTACCCGATCATCCACATGCGGGAGAGTCCAATGATCATCAGTGGAACTCTAATCAATCTCCTCAAGGAACGGACTATACATACAAACTACCACCGGAAATAACCTCGGAAATCATCTACGCTGCAGTACTTGCAGAGGAGAAGGAGCATCCGTGGTACTGGGGAGCATCACGGACTCGATATCAAATTCTCATTGCATACGCCAGTGTCTCCTCTGCATGGCTAAAAATCGTACTATCGACACCCAGGTTGTGGTCAAAAGTTAACGGAGGACTCGGGCATCATGTTGAGGCTGTATCCCTTTTCCTGCAACGCTCAGGAGGCGTACCCCTTGACATCGAGATTGGGTATGCCGAAGAAGATGTTATCAATATGCTTCACACCCATATCTCGAGATGGAAAAGTTTTTCGGGAACCATATTGCACCCCTCGAAAGTTGTCGACTACTTTGGGGGTAAATCTGCACCACAGTTGGAACACCTCACCATCCAGTCTACGGGTCACAATCTATTCCATGTCCCAAACCTTCTAAACGATGATGCTCAACGGCTTCTTCATCTTTCCTTGTTCTCAGTAACTGTTCCTTGGGATTCTCCACGTCTTTCGCGGCTGAGGAGCCTCCACATCAGTGATACAGGTACCGACGGAAGGCCATCCGATTTGCGGTTTTACGACCTTTTGGGGCATTGTTCTGGATTGGAATACTTGTATATCTATGGACATCCCTTTCTTGCGAATCGACATGGGTCTGAGGCTACAAGATTGGATCCTATCTACATGCCCAGTTTGAAGCAGCTTATACTCCGAGGCGTTTCACGCAGTGTAACACTGCGAATTCTAGCTTCCATCTTCACTTCGCCAAGTGATTCCGATTCGGTGCCTTTCATTCATCTCACCGATATGCCCGAGAGGCTCACAATTACCGACTTGGAGAGAATAGCGAACTTTGAACCACGAACCATACTTGGAGAAATGGTTGCATACCTAGTGGGATTGAGAATCATCTACGAGGGGTGGTCCATTCCCCAACCTTCCCGAAGATGTGTTGTCGAAGGATCCGTGAAGACCTCCGTATGCGAACCGCACCTGAAAATTTCATACATCGAAAGCGCTTTCGACTCCTCATTGACATTGTTCCACGTATTGATTCCTCGGGGAGTGGAGTTTTCCAAAATCCGAACCCTTAATATGCAACTACCTCCCCTTTCAGCGGACAGGGATCTAACCAGACAGCTTCAGCGACTCCCCCTGCTGGAAGAATTGATTTTGTCTTCGCCCACGCAGTTACCTGACTTTATACGGCTTGGAGCTGCGTTTAGACTTGGTGCTGTCTTTGACGTCCTGGGTCTTGTGGCTTTCGTCGAAAATACCGAGGGTATTCGCAATGCTCCCGACTGGCTTTGCCCCAGGCTCAAGGTAATTCGGATGCGGGGGGTTCACCTTAGAGTGGATGCTCTTCTTGATATGCTGAAACTACGATATGGGCTGGATCCTCATACAGCCCATCTCAACCTTCCAGCTTCCATAGAGCTTCTCGAGATACTTGATGACATGACTAACTCTGAAGCCCTCATTCCGATCAAGTCTATTATTGAGACAAAGGGAACATTCAGATGGGAGCCAAAGAACACGTGAAGAACGGATAGGAAGTCCGTTTGCTCCGATCATGTATCTCCATTTATTTTTACGTACAATAATTCATCAACACATTGCTATGTCATTCTAGACGCCCGGAATCCCATGAGATCCCGTCTCCTCGCACTAATGATATGTCAGCGGGATGTTTTCGGTGGCGAGTCGTATGGGGTCATCCCCGCGGACGAGGTCGGAAGAAAGCTGCCTTGTTTCACACACCTGGTGCCGTGTCTCAATCCCACTCATCACCGCAACCGGATCAATAGGTTTGACGTGAAATGTCATGATACGTTTGACTTTGACATCTAACGCCGCCTCACTGCGCGGCAATACAAACGGATCCGAGTTTGCAACTTGCTCCGGGGGTGTTCTGCTTTGGTGATATTGATATTTTCGCCTCTGGGATTCAGGCCCTCGCGGAGGCATGCCGTGTCGGTCTTGACACATGTCAGGATAAAAGGCGGACTTCCGGTGGATTCAAGGAGCTCATCATCACTATATTCTTCCTACATTATCCGTCTGCCCAGTACAAAAATCAGTCCTTGTTCTCGACTTAATACAATCCCCCTCTTCACTTCTTTCTTGGTAACCATGTCTTTCCCTGCCGACGTCGAATCTTTCACATCAACATTCCAAGTCAACTATCAAAACGGCTTCTTGCCTGCTAATCCTCCTGCCTCCGCATTCAAGGATTCGACCTATTCAATCTGGCTCTTCCTCGCAAAGAACATTCCATTCCTACTGTGGACCCACCCAGGGGAGTTCCGCAAACAAGTCGACGAGCTTCCCTTGCTCGCTTTCAACGCCGCCCATGACGAAAACGATCTTCCGCAGTGGCGTCTAGCGTATAGCGCACTGAGCTACATTGCACATGCATACATCTGGGGTGCCCGGGCCGGTTGCGGTTTGCACGAAAACCCAAATGATTATGAAAACCCGATTGAAGTTCTCCCTCCGAATCTCGCCATTCCGCTTCGTCAAGTGTCGGATTTCCTTGGTATCGAGCCTGGACTGACCTTTTCTTCCGTCGTCCTGTGGAACTGGAAGCGCAAGCTTCCTCTTGGACCAGGCGTGAAGGATAGGGCCTCCAATCTCGAGGTAATTTTTTCCTTCACTGGGACTCAAGAGGAGGAAGACTTCATCATTACATCACTAATGGTTGAGAACGCGGGAGGTGTCGCTCTAAGGCTCGCCCTTGACGCAAGTGCAGCCGCAGGGAAGAAAGACTCACAAAGCTTGGAGAAGATCCTGCAGCAGTTGAGACCAGCGATTGATGTCGCACGAGGTGAAATGGCTCGCTTAAAGGCCGCATCCTCATCTGGTAAGCATTTTCCCACATTCTACAGGCGCCCAAACCTAATCATAACTCAACAGAGGTAATCAGACTACGCTTCAAGCCATATGTCGTTGGCTTCAACAACTCCCATAATGGAGTGTTTTATCCATCATCAACTCGCTATAGCTCACGTGGTCAATGGCTGAAGCTCTCAGGTATGCTTTCCACGAGTTCGTCATTCTTTGTACTCACGCCCCGCCAGGATTCTGCACTGGTGAATCGTCCATCTTCCAAGCGCTCGACATTCTCCTTGGTGGTCAAGATCTTGGTCGGTTACAGTTTGCTCAGACTATGCGAGCTGCTATGCCAAGTAAGTTGTACCTTTGCACGACCTCAGCTAGGCACTGAATGGTTTCCAGATGCACATGTTGAATTCCTTGATGCACTCGCTGCGCTGCCTTCAATTCAAAGTTATGTGACATCACTCGGAGAGACTAACAAGCCACTCCAAACGGTTTACAACGAAGTCATCATATCATTGAAGTATCTACGCGATGCCCATTTCGACATCATCGGCAGCTTTGATATCAGTACGTATCTGCCTCCCTTATTAGTAATAAAATCTCACATCCCGTAACCATAGGCCCCACAACACGTGCACCTGCGGTTAATAGCAAGTTTGCCCGCCCCTTCGCCGATCGCTACCCATTCAAATCTGAGTCAAAGAAGCGCGTTGGATTTACTTCTACAGAACCTAGGATTATTGCGCCTTTAGGACAGTGATGTGTGGCTATTAGTTTCGTTATATCAGTTATTGTATTATCACCTTTCACATTACATGCTTCCTATTTGACTTTCTGGAATCATGCTCGAGTTACTTGGATTTTTTTGGGACCTTCATGGTATTACTGGGAGATTTTTAGTAGATCCGGGGACTCCCGATGTTCGAGAGGTAGAAAACGAACATACCGGATCAAGAATAGTGGTGTTCAAACAAACATAGAAAAACATTCCACGTTCAACGACTTTAATCATTCCCCTTCTTATAGTCATTTTACAAGGCAAAATGAGTGATGAGAGTGGGATTCGAACCCACGCCATAGAATGACTAGTGTAAAGGTAATCTGGACCTGAAACTAGCGCCTTAACCACTCGGCCATCTCACCGACGAGAAATCTCGATTTCTTTGAATAGATGACTACAGTCTTCCTTATCATCTGTCATGAGAAACCAGCTCTCCTGAGCCACAATTCCGTTTGAAAATGCGTAAATATTCAATGTAAGTATCGTGCTTGTAATCTGTTGGTCGCCTTCGACAACATTACAGAGATTCCCTAGATACACTGGCACTGGATCTTTCAAGACGCCAGCCATGGTTCATAGTTCGATAAATGATTTCTATTAATCATATCGACTACTAAGAGGCCTATATTAACAACACTCTTGCATGTGCTTGATCATGTGGCAAAAATATAAAGGGCCAATTCTGGGCGAAAATTTCCTGAAATTCGAACCACTACGATGGACCCATGTAAGGAACTAGAGCTTATCGCACCGGTTACCTAACCCTAGACTCTGTTTCGTATTGTGAAAACCATGGGCAGATCATCGACGGGTTCAGCAATCTTAGATAAACACAAGGGCTACAGTCCCTACTATACAAGAGTGTAGGATGCAAATGGTCGCTCCACGTCCCTGGTTTATATAAATAGGCAATATTACCAGGTCCCTCACAAAAAGACATACCTGCACGCTTAAGGAGAATCGAGACAAGGATCGACGCCGACTTGTCACTTGACATTTTCCGTACGACATATTCTACATCTCTACAAGGGCTTTTGCCTGCGTTTCCTCAGAGACACTGTCAACAACGATCCCCAAAGCGATCAATGCCCGGCCGACCGTACTTCTCAGTTCTTCTATCATATGCCACTCACCCCCCATCAGAATGACTAACTGAAGTCGCTGACTTCTTATGCATCCAAAGTCAACTTGAACTGATGGTGAGCGACCAGTCCGCTTCGATTATGTAAAGTATCGCAAGTGCCAACTGGCGGTCCCTCATGTTTTTCTTTCAAAGTCTGAGAGGTATTCCACTTGTTCTACATCATTCACTGATATTACTACATGTGTTGATTAATGGAAATTGAATAAATCATTACTATGACCTTTTTTAAAGCCGACTTGTTGCCTATCACACCCTAATCTGTATTCCTTCTTCGGTTAACAGAAAAAACTGTGCGACGTGTAGATACGAAACGATGCTTCGATATTGTGATAGCGGCTAAGCGATTATGCAAGTTGTGAAGAAAGGACGGGAGTCGGGGTCCATGATTTGACAACGAAACTAGCTCGCTTGTCGTCTAGTTGTTGTCATAGGATGGAAAGGCGGGTTACGATATCGTTGTTTCTATTCCCAATTACTTCCTTCGCGGTGATCATACGCTCTTTGGGACTTTGTTTGTGTCGAGACACTAACTTACTCTTAAAGGACCTGCAAACCCACTAAATTCATCAATACTTTTCTGATTGTGTTATGAGTATCTTTTCTTTGTCGGATGTCAGCTCTTACCGACTTCCCTAGCGGACATTGCGTGCTTGAGCTGGCGAATGGGAAAGGATGCTCGATGTATGTTTCCTCATGGGTTTATTGTTGGTAAGTCCGAAGTACTCTTAGACCTCTACCTCTTAACAATAACAACTTCAGTACACATCTGAAAAATTTCAGGGAGGTTAAGATTTGCTAGAAAACGAAGTAGGTCCTGTATTCGGAGCGTGAATGGCATGACTGGGCTTTTTTGATGATTTGTAATTCTCCTATAGTTCATGTGTCGTCACGCCGAGTCTGAATGTGTGATCAATCATATGCAACACTCCGATTCCCGTAGGCTTTTTCCGTTTCTTTATTAACTTTAAAGAGTTGGTATAACGGACGTTTCCTTCGCCACTTTTAAGATTCGGCTAATTGTAAGCGAGTGTCGCTGTGACTACTGTGTCAGGTAAGTAGATCGCGATCGCGTTTCGTTGCGGGGCGGAGATTGATTCTGACATGGCGAGCGATTGTTGCAGTTGGGTTTCTCGTTCTCTCGAATCTCTCCTTTTTTTTAAACAACAGTAAGCGTCAAAACGAGAGAGTGCTCTGCTAACTAAGCAATTACTGAGATTTAACCGCATGGGCAATGGGGAAGACGGTCTTTTGAAACTTCTATTGATCAACTGATGCAGAATCGTTAAACAGTGACAAGGTCGGGTGTCGCTTAAACTAAGAACAAGAAAGCAATAAGGGAATTGGGCCTGCCGCGGCAACGAAGGTCCACTTCCGACACGTGTTATATTGTGCGGCTGCTCACAATTTATGCATACTACACAGAGGATACTCACAATAGAGTTCGCTCCTTGACTCCTTCATTTCCTTCATGTTAGTCTCTTCTTTGTAGCAGCTATCTTTTCAAAGAACCGGCTGATAGGACCACTTCTGTTACATGGCGGAAGATATGGACCAGTCAGGCGGCATTGAAATCGCCGGGTTTGTACCCTATCCCTCTTACGGTAAAATTTGAGTTCCTGATCATCATTTTTGATAGATGGAATTTACTAGCCTGGGAAATATGCTCCATGCAGTTAAAACTTCAATATGAGTTAAATGCTCGGCACGGAATAAAACCCAAGACCTGGCTGGACAGCATCGGTCTAGATAGGTCTAGATAGAAAGATTATAAATGTTGAATCATATGTACCTATCTGATTGACAAGCTGTGCTTTGGCAATGATTAATAAATAAAGTGGACCATCTCTAAAGTATCTATGTGTAAGCAATCTCGTCATTCAGAAAGTAGGCTTGCAAGGTTGGAAAGATATCGTCACCCAGCAAAACGGTACACCGTGATACTGCTTCTGGTTACTAGAGTGAGTTCGAAGACTCATTCGGCCAAGGTCACGGACATTTCAACTCGGAATCTGCACGAAGTTGTCGAACGTATCTTCCGCGTTGGACAGACATCAGTGAGATTCTATTCAAAGTACTCCGCAGATAGAGCTCGAAGGTGCCAATGGAGCGGAATCCAGAGGTAGAACAAAGGCGAATATATCCGATTAGGTATATTCACTCCCTTTAGGGATCCCAAGCAGCAAGAATGTGGCGAGTTCACAGTGCCGGTAAATAGATAGAACTGCGAAGAAACTTGCCCAGCAAAAAATTGAGAGAAGTGAACGGAATCAAATTGCGAGCTCTTACTCAATTAGCTTCAACATTGATACCCTAAGCTCCAGCACAACTGCCGAGTTATCCGCCGAACATCAAAGTCCAAAGGGGGTCAAGGGGTTTCACGGTAGAATGAATGCAAATCAACGGTTGGTGCACCTTCAAATGTCCGCCAAAACACCCTGAGAACGCTTAGATGTGCCGCCGATATGGGTCAGGAATCCCTTTTGAGAAAGGGAGTAATGTCAAATCATCCTCCGAACCCATGATGGTCGCAAAGTGCCATAGACAAGCCAATCAGGCTTAGAAGATCATCTCACTTTTGACGACTTCTACTATGTCTCCTTCCTGATGATCCTCGAGATAGAAATAGAACGTGGGAAAGATATGGTGGTTTCAAACACATCTCGATAACGCAGGGTCGCAGAAAAAACGACCCTGACCTCCTTCAAAACAACCTTTTCTTTGGATGCCTTTTTTCATTCCGAAAAACAAGGAGGGTATAGTCAAGCAACCGCGTCTATTGCCGATCTACGATCGAATCTTGTGGCTGAGTTGACACCCCTTCTTTCGGGACTCGGTATCTCGACCTTAACTATTTTCTTCTAGCCTTTCTTCGCCCCATCATGAAGCAAACGACAGGCTGTCCGGACCCGTCGCCCCCTCGTAATTGCATTGCCGCAATTAGATGGATCCGAATCGCGATCAAAAGTAAGTTTGTGATGTATCTAGATAACCCAGAACGCTGTCGCAATCGAGATTTTCTTCAGGGGATTTGTGTAACCACCACGTGTGGGCTCCCGTGCTGCGCTGTAGCTCTTGTGATACGATCCGCCCTACCTACGATCTACAACAAACTTGGGGGGGCAAATCGGAGTCCTTGGTGGCTTGTCTGAATAACGTTGGGACATCATTTCATCGTGCCCGACGTGAGCTATCTCATCTATACGGCTACGGTTCAACACCTTCCCCAGCATGACAGACGTGATTGCTCATGTTTTCATAGGATTACGGATCAACTAAGCCAAACTCGCGCGCCACTCAATGTCCCACAAAGAGACTGGTGAGACACGAGGTAAAAGCAGTCCTCCCCAAACATCCGTACACACCGGGAAATCAAGCTCTTAGGAGTCCTGTGCTAACCTTGCCACGATGCTTGGGGATCCATTATCCCTTACCGAACCTTTAGCGTGAGTGAGGCTACCTACCGGCATCTTCCCTTTTAAGTCGCTCCATGAAATATTCCTGGGGGGTGAAAGACCCTTCGCAACTTTTCTCTTTTTTGGTTCCTTTAAAGACGCGAACGAGAACTCAGGACAAACCCAGCTCGAACGACATTTGCCCGCGTCTTACATGATGATGACTATTCGATTTCAAGAATCGCCTCCTTCTTACTTTCCTCCACCACAACCGTTGCCTCCCGCTCCTCGCCAATCCCTAAAGCACCTACAACCAATGTGCGACACTGCCTTTCATGGGGATTCTCGTCCGTCGGCTGGTCTTATCGTTCCTCAGCGAATCGACCCAGCGCCACCCCATTTCCAACCTCATCAGATTATTCTCTTTGATGATCGTGCTTCAACAACACCCGGTATCTTCTTGGAAGACTTGACAACACATCGAGCGAGATTGACGCGCGAAAATGATTGGCCATTTGACAAGACATACCCTCATGAGCGTATCTTCCTCCAGATATCTGTGAGTCACACAACCCACCACTCAGCTTGGGATACTGAAACCGTTCCGCAGTGGCCAGGATACGCAACATTGGGGACTTGGATTACAATTCAAACAGATGAATGGCGGACAACGTCCAGCGTGCTTGCTCGCGATGTTGCGTGGGCCTTCAAAGGATTCATAGACTCTGTGCAAGTACGTGTTTTCTTGTCGCATGGCTGCTTGCGCAAATGAACACACGTTCCTGACTAAATTGTTTTCACTGTGCAATTGTGCAGGGTCTTCCGT